TTGCCACTAATTCAGCATCATGAGAATTTAGGGATCTGAGACTCACCTGGGTGTGATGGTCACCTGTCAACAGAGGCTCTCAGCTGGGACCTGCTTTTGGATCCCAACAGCTTTTAGGGAAAGGACAAGAGTTAGAAGAAAAGTGACAGCAAGAAGCAAATAATTTAGAAATAAAACATGTAACACTGTAGTAAATGAACTGACAGTGTGGGTGGGATTGGAAAACAAAGACCACATCCCTTATGTCTTCAGGTGGTGGTTTGGATCCTACCTTCAGTAATATTTTAATCAACAGGAGCTGAGATTGTTTTTACCCCTCGTGGTTGGTGAGATCTGTTCGAAGCCTCCGTTGCGAGTCTCTAATTTGATTTGTCTGGATGGAATGGAATGAACTGGCTGACTTTCCTCATCATAGGGATGTTTCCTGACACACACAAGCGTGGGGTCTAATTTGAGAGCATGCAAGGCTGGAAAACAGACCTGGGAGTGGAGTGGGATCTCACCAGAAATGGGAATCCATGGTCACAGCTTTAGGAAGAGGAACCAGAGCTGTTATTCTGAGTTTCACTCCATTTCCAGGACAGGGACTGTAATATCAAGCCTGCTACTGCATTTCCTGCAGGCTGGTTGCTAGAAATTCAATCGCCCAAGGGTTTTGACCGACTATAAAAATGATTGTGTTGACTGTGCTTCTAATATTCCAGTGTTAGAAATGAGTCCCCTGGCTGGGAACAGCTGGTAACTGGAGACATCTGCACATGGTTGCACCTCAAGCTGACATGGGGAAGGTGGATTTCTCTGGACCAGAGAGGAGAGCAATTCTCACAGCCTGGCTCAGGGGTGATGACTTGTTCTGAGGGACAAATCCTGGCTGTGCTATTCGTACTGGAAGTGACATCAAGCTTATTTATATGAGCAAAACAAACAGAACCCACTGGTACATGACAGAACGATTATTTGCTTTATGACTCAGGCCCAGGGTCTGCCAACTTTGAAAGAAATTGGAGTGTACACAGATTATTTCTTTCTGTTTGAGTAAAAGAGAGAGAAAGAGAGAGGAGAATTCCTCCTCTGTGGGCACTGCTAGGCTGCCATTCAATGTGTTCTCCCTCAAAACAGCTTCATATTTTAATCACTACCCTAATATCTGTATTCCACCCTTCATGGAAATCTACAAAGCACATTATCTTTGTCCTGTATTTCTGTTTTAATTGTACTGTTGATTTTTAATTAAAATGCACCCCTCAGTTTCCCACCCAGCTGTTCTTGCAGTCTGCAGAAGAATGGTCACTAGGAACCCTCCAGTCCACACAGGATGGAAGGCTCCCCTCTCTTTCCCTCTTTCCAAGGGCAATACAGATGAAGGGATAATCCAGTGGACTAAATCAGCTCCCAGTCTGTATTGTCCTTGCTCCAGTGGATATTGGTTGGTGCTCTCTTTAAACACAAAATGAAAACTGGAAAGAGAGAGAAAGTCATGAATTGGTTCCTAATTTTGAGCTTTGGAGTGGGATATATAAAAATGGCAAAGGACTTAATTGAGGTTGTTTTTTTCAACTTGGAATGCTCCCACTGCAGAACAATATCAAGGCACGAAGACCTGCAAACACACACAGGGACTCTGACTTTCACTTCTCTTTTTTTCTGAAATGTCAGGAATCCACCTCTCAGAGATTTCCTACTCACCCCATTTCTACATGAGTTGCAATCACATTGACAGTATTTTCAGTAGAAACAACCAGTGTCACATTTTTCATCTTAATTTGGGAAAGAGGGCTTTATTTATTTCTTATAGACTCCTTTCAAATCTTTCATAGCAATGTTTTTTTCTCCAATTAATAAGAAAACTTTTTTGCAACGTTTTGCAAAGCTGTTTCATTAGAACTGCAGGGCAATTGCTGAATCTCAGCAACTTAGGGTGAGAACAAACTATTCAGCTTCTGCTGACAAAAAAATATTAATGGATAAATTGATTTTCACCCAGAAATCTTCACTGGAGTCTCTCTCCAACTGTGGCCAACCACAGTTGATGCAACTTTTCTCCTTCAACGTGGCTGTTTTGTTTCACCTTTCATACATGTAAAGAGGCAACTTGTCTAAAAAAATCATGTTCTCTAAAAAACACAGCACATGCATTTTTATTTTACTGTGCAGGAAGGTGCTATTGCATAAGATATTTAGGGCAGCAAGCAGCAGGGAGAGGCACAGCATTTATATTTTAATTAGCTCATGCCAGGAGTTTCTTCAGAGGTTACTAAATTACTATTTGTCCACCTACATTATTAAAATCTTGTGTCTTTCCACTTCAAGGACTCTTTGTACTTCCTGAGAACTGTGTTGCTGCGACTGTATATCGTTCTTAAATAATGTTCTTAAATAATCCCAAGCGATGATTTTATGAATCCGTTCCGTGCCAATTGTAATAACGGAACTTTAGCAATTAAAAGATAAAAATTCTAGGAAAGCACTATTTTAAACACAAAAAAGCCCTCCAGAGCTGGTTTGATTCAATAAATATTCGTCATGTGTGGGCTTCTTAAACACATTTTTAGCAATTGTGTTCTTTTCTCAAAATAATTTCTCGAATTGTCCTGCTCTATGAAAAAAGCCCATTGTTTTATCTATTTCACATCACACTGGTGATGTTAACAAAGACAAATATTTTTGCATAAATACATAGCTCTGAGGCTTTTTTTGCTACAGCAAGAACACCTTAGAATCTTGAGAAATCTCTTATTTCTGGAAGCATTTATATACTAAAGGAATGCGACCTCTTTGAAATAAACTGGTGGTGTGGGCACTTCTGAGGTACTTCAGTGCCACAGGTTAATGTGTGTTGCACAGAACCTTCCAATAAGGCAGTGGAATAGGAAAGCCTTCCTGGAAATGCAGTAATTTGGCAAAGGGTTTCTAATTTTTTTTTTTCTGGTATTGGTTTATTGTCATTCATTTTCCGGTGCTGGGGAGATACAACCACCACGAGACCATCCAACATTTCCTTGCTGCTTTGCTCCTGAAGGATTCATGTCCCTGCCAGTGCCAGTCTAGATCCTGCTGGCAGCTCCATGAACAAAAGGAAGGGTTCTGGTAGAGATCAACTTATTTTTCTGCAGCAAGACACTTCTCAGAAGTGGCAGCCATGCAACACTGAGGCTGCTCACAATATGTAGTTTTCCACTGAAAACAAGCTGGAATATTGATGAGATATTAATGTTAACTATGGATGTGAGCCTACAACATTCTCCCACTGGAGCAACACTCACTCAAGCAATCAGATTCACTGAAGTTGCTTCATTAGGACTGAATTCAAGTCAAACCTTTCCTTTCAACTATTGTCGCAATTCTGCTGCACACAGGTAAAAAAGAGTTTGCAAAGTTTTGCCCCGGTTTTATTGCCAAAAGAGCTCAGTGCTTTGGGATTCTTTTCCTGTTAGAGAGTTACTAAAGTGTTGCAAAGCCTGAGAATAAGTTTTCTTCTTACTTTTAAATTGGAGAGTACAGGGGCATAGAACCGTTTAAGCTGGGAAAGCCCTCTAAGGTCATCAAGTCCAACTGTTCACACCAAGGTCTCCACTAAACCATGTCCCAGACTGCTCCATCCACAGTCTTTTAAATCCCTCCAGGGATGGTGACTCAGCCACTTCCCTGTGCAGACTGTTCCAGAGCTTGACAACCCTTTCAGTGAAGAGATTTTTCCCTATATCCAATTTAAATCTCCCCTGGCACAGCTTGAGTCTGTTTTCTCTTGTCCTGTCACTTGTTACCTGGGAGAAGAGACTGATTCTCCCCCAGCTCCCCCCTCCTGTCAGGGAGTTGCAGAGCCAGAAGGTCCCCCCTGAGCCTCCTTTTCTCCAGGCTGAGCCCCCCCAGCTCCCTCAGCTGCTCCTGCTGCTCCAGCCCCTTCCCCAGCTCCATTCCCTTCCCTGCACACACTCCAGCCCCTCAATGTCTTTCTTGGAGTGAGGGGCCCAAAACTGAACCCAAGTCTCAAGGTGTGGCCTCACAGTGCCCAGCACAGGGGGATAATCTCTTCCCTAGTCCTTTAGAGCAAAGAGCTCCAAATCCTGAAATGGATGCTTTAACACGATTACCTTCCTAAACTAAAAATTATGTATTCCTGGCAAGAATCTTACCCCAGGTAACTCACAACCTAGGCTTTATTGCCCCAGAGTCACTGGTCATGATTGTAGCTGCACAACAGTCATGAGTCAGAAAACAGTTTCATGTTGATAACTGAGCCACTGAAAATGAGGTTTTTAATGACTAATTTATTTTAGAAAGAGAGACAATGCTATTTATGTCATGTAAATGACTTAGAGAAATAATTCAAATGACACTGGACATTTACAAAATCATTATGATAATGGAAATCTTGAATAACTTGTAAGAGTTCCACAAGTTCCACTGTTATGTTTGGCATGATTATAAATTTCATAACAATCTCTTGATTGTTTCTCTTTCCCTCTTTTCATGAAATTCATCATATACAGATGCAGTACCAAACCATTAAGATGCAATGCAATTTAAATTATTATACAAAGAAGCAAAATTGTTTGATTTATACCTTTTATCCTTGTAACAGAATTAGATGCACTGGATTCTTAACCATTAAACCAGGTTCTAGAGCTCTGCCTCTAAAATAGATTGCTCAATTAAAAAGACTTACCTTTCTTGCAAGGAATGAAGCTCCATTTTTGGAATAATCTGAGTTTTATTCCTGCTGCAGACTGGGGATTCTAAGCAACCACAATGTGCGACATAGAAACTCCAAGTAAGGATGTTTCTGCTATAATATGCAATATTCAGTTCCAAACATTTATTAACTGGAGAATGACAGTGATCTGAATCTATGCATAGATGACACATCTGGCAGTCTCTGCCAGTCTCTCTCACTCCCCCACCCCCTCAAACAGCAAACCAAAATTCGATCAAACCTGTAAAACAAGCAATAATAGCCTGAACATTTTCCACCCGAGGAAAAAGGCACAGTGGGAAATTACCTTAAATTCAGTTTCAATGTTGGCTAGTCTGGCCAATTCATTGCTTAGCTCTAGGGCAGTAAGGACAGGGTCTTCACTGGAAAGGGACAAATAAGCAGCACTGGCTAATCCTTTGTAGGCGTTCATTCTGGAGCGAGAGTGGCTAAAGGAGTCTTTCCTCTGCTTCTCGATACATTCATTGCACTTGCAAAAATAGTCGTGCGGCCTCTCGATCCGCGCGCCTTTGAGGAGCAGGATGTGAACGATCTCGTACTCCTGGCAGTGGGCGGCGAGGATGATGGGGGTGATGTCGTGGGAGAAGCGAGTCCCGTCTTCGTCGTAGGCGTAAAAATCGTCGTCTCTGAGCTCCTGCTCCAGGGGGCTGAGCGTGAGGCGCTGCCCCTGCGCGAAGGCCGGGTGGTTCAGGATGGCCTCCACGATGCGCACGTAGCCCTTGCTGATGGCCAGCAGGAGGGCGTCCCCCACCCGGGCCAGGTTCTCCTTCTTGAGGAGCAGCTCCGTCACCTCCAGGTGCTCGTTGCCCACAGCCAGCTGGAGGGCGTTCTGCCCCATGTAGTCGACGCAGTTGAAGTTCAAGGTTTTGGATTCCTCCAGCATTTTCCGCACCACGGGAATGTTGCCATATTCCGCGGAGTCGAGGAAACGCTCCTCCTCCGCCGTGAGGCTGGTGCCCTTCTCGTTGAACATGTAGGCTGGGCCCCGGATGGCCTGTCTCCGGCCCTTCTCCCGGAGCGTGGTGTGCCTTCGGTGCATGGTTTTGGAATTGCTGGTCCTCAACCTGCAGAAAACCACAAAGGAAGGTTGGTTAAGAGAGTAATGATTTCACATCATCTGAAATAAGGGTAGAAATGTCTCCTAATGATCAGGTCTTGCTTGCTGGCTACTTAAAATCATTTAGGATACATGTAGATGTGCCTTCGACGCATGTGTTTGGAATTGCTGTTCCTCAGCCTGCAGAAAACCCACAAAGGAAGGCTGGTTACGTTCTAAGAGAGTCATAATTTCATGTAGCATGAAATAAGGTTAGAAATGTCTCATTCTGATCAGGTCTTGCTTGCTTTTTATGCCCTGAGCTGGCTACTTAAAATCATTTAGGATACATGTGGGTGTGCCTTCGATGCTTGTGTTTGGAATTGCTGTTCCTCAGCCTGCAGAAAACCACAAAGGAAGGCTGGTTACGTTCTAAGAGAGTCATAATCTCACATGACCTGAAATAATGTCTCGTGATGCTCAGGTCTTCCTTGTTTTTTATGGTCTGAGCCAGCTACTTAAAATCATTTAGGGTACATGTGAAATAAAGATTAGTTTCTCAAAAACAGATGAGTTCTCCCCTGACTTGTACTTCTAGATTTCAACAAGGATTCTCAGCACATTCTTAACCTGAGAAATAGGAAAAAATGTGTGAATGTATTATTTTCCATTTTTACTGTTTAGAACTTCATTATGTGGTATTTAGGAATAATATGCACAACATAATATTTCACTGAATTACTCTTCTTGAGTTTTGTCCTTGAGGACATGAGCCCTAAAGAAAGTTAGCAGGACTCTCCTGTCTACAGACCTTGGATCAGGCCAATAAATTACGCTCCATAAAGTTAAAAAGCAGGTTTCTAATTTAAAACTCATCATAACAAGGATAAATATGTTGCATATCCTCCTGAGATTCAGCTGGTACAAGCGAATCACCTATTTATTCCCTGCTTTTTTTCATGCTACATAATACCATTTGTCTGTTTCCTGATCTAGAGCAGTTTAATGAATAATAATTTCTCAGTGAAATATAGTTGGCAGCTACTCCAAATACAGGTGCCCAAATTCAGGGCAGAATCTTGAAAAACACAGGAATACCTCCTGATTTAGTGTCACATCACTCCCCAGTAAACATCTTTCAGAGAGGTGCTGCAGAAAGACAAAACACAGGTCTCTGAGCACAAACAGGGCAGGACTGGAAGGGTCATTGGTTTCCCCACTGCTTATGTGGCTGAAATGCCTTCACTGGAATTTGGTGGGATGGAGACAAGCTATTCTTATTCCACCATCTCCGCAACCCCCAAAGAAAGCTGTGCTATGTGCAATTGGGTTCAAGAGTGGGTAAACACACTATTTTATAAAAATAACTGAAATCCTAAATCTATCTGTGCCTTTAAAACAGTCACACTTTGCGTTTGGTGCTGTCTCAATGTTGCGCTTCTTTTTTTTAAATTTCATTGCAGCAGCATCTCAACAAAGTCACAGTCCCTCTTTTAGAGTCCAAGCACAGGGAGTCAATCACCATCCTAAGGCCACAGAATGTGGAAGCTGAGTAAAAAGCATAAGAACAACACCTCTTTCATGAAAAGCATTTGCACTCAGCCCAATAGCAAGTCCTAAATCACTTGAGGAAAAGCTTCAGGAGCCTCTGTGATGCTGTGGACAGATGTAACACATAAGCAGGTGTTAATGCTCAATGGGTGGCAAAGGTTCCTCCTTCCACACTCCATCTGTTCTCCAAGTCAGTTTTGACCTTCAGCCAGTGAAAAGTTCATGTTACTCTAAAAAAATACCACTGAAGTTGGAAAATGCTGCAGCGAACAATGAGAGGGAACAATGCCAGGAGACAAAGCAGAGCAGATACATTGCCTTCAGTAACAGGTGATAAGAGAGTAAAGGAAACAGAAAGAACCTTGTGAAACAAAGGGGTATCAGAAACCCAAAATACCTGAAGTGCCAGGACACAGAACTTCTCAACGTAGCTGTTCTTGTGGAACTAACATGTACATGTGCATCTATCCTTTTAATTCATCACTTTTTCACTGATCTGGAACAGAAGGCCAGTCCTGAAGAGTTGCAAACAAATTTTACAGCGAATTTTTGGAAGTTACATCAAAATTTAAACCAATCCTAAGAAATCAATTCTGTGACCATACAAGGTTGAAAGAGAGGCTCATAATTAAGAACCTCTCCCCCTCACCTTTGATGCATCAGCGTAACAACGTACTAAAAGCTAGAAGGAACTGAACATATCAGCCCAGGCTCCACTGAGAGATAAAGTGCCACATGAATCTTAAAACTAATTCCTTCCAGCGTGGTTTGAAGTTGAAGAAGGAGGCAGAGAGGAGGGACACCAGAATAATGCAGGAGACATGTTAAGTGAATGAATTCCCTAGACTGTATGAAGTTTACTACAAGAGAAAACAAAAATAATAACATATACCATTAACGTATCTGACAGGGAGGCAGAGGTCTCCAAAGCAGCAAAATGCCTGGGGTAAAACTGGGGCCCCTTTGAAGTCAATATTACAAATTTCATTGATTTCAGTGGTGTGCAAATTTTGGAAACCTATATGCACGCACACACACCTTGTCCCCAGCATTAGCTTTCATCTCAGCAGCAATTCCAGCGAGGCCAGGAGGACTAACACGGTTAAAACAAAATATTTAACCATATGCACGAGTGCTACTCTATCCTGGAGCTCGTGTCCTGAGCTATTCAAGGGAGCATTTTAAGTTTTAAACCGGCACTCAAGTCTTACTGAGTTCAAGTAAGGACTACACATCCAAATAAACATTTGTGAACTGTGCCTTCGTTGAGTGGGGACTGGCAGTAATAGAAAGCACATTACACTTTTACAGTCTGGGGATTTCCTGGATGTTAAATTAAATCTCTTAAAATATTAAGCAAAACAATGAGCTGGTGATGGCTTAAGGAATTGTTGCTGGGATCAAGTGGAAAGCATTCCAGCTCTGGTAGCTGCTCAGTGGTGCCCCAGGGGGTGCAGCAGGATTGCACATGCCTAAATATTTTAGGAGAGTTAACTGCAACAGCTGCCTCAAGCTGGCACTTTTCTGATGTTAAAAAACCATGTAGGGGAAGATATTTGGCAACCATTTATTTATTGTTATATTTAAAGGTCAGTACTGGAAACGACTCAGAAATATCTATACTTTTCAACAGTGAGGAACCTGCCTGTATTTTTCCTGATGTTCAAGTACAGCTCTTGGTACTTTACTCTTTTTTTCTTAGAAAACCTTTTCTCTTCTGGTATGTCATTATAAAGGACAACCCAGATAGATGGGACAGATAACCTTATAATCACACCCAAAGTAAACATAAACCCACATAAAATACTCCCATTGACCTGGTTCTAAGATTTTTACCTGAGAAAACAGGTCAAAGTTTGGCCTAGAGCTAATTCACACCTGTTTCTTGTATTTGTAATAACATGCCAAAAAAAAATAAATAAAGGACCTTCATTTCACTTTCTTCAATTCAGAGAGAACACTGGTTTCATACACAATTTCTAACAACAGAAATTGCACCAGGAAAAGAGAAAACAGGAAAAGCCCTCCAAAAAGAGAACTATTATCCAACCTTTATCTTGCAATAAATGTTCTGCAGGGATGTCCCCACAGCACAGAGTTGTTCTCACTGCCTGCACAGAAGGGCAAGAGCACCATCATTCAGAGGGTTTCACCTCAGATGAATTATGACCCCCCAGTCCTGCTCGTCAGCAGAGATCAATATCTCAGCTATCACACTTTATCATCGTTATAGAGAAGAGATGAATAAAAAATGATACTTTTAACTTGGAATAATTTAATGAGAAATGCTCAGCTATCAAACTCTGGTCCGAAGAAAAGTTATAATTCTCCTTGACCCGAGCACTGAATCATGATAAAAGAAGTAGAAGTGCAAAGAGTAATGTGTGCAGTAGTTGAAGCTCTTGGAAAATGAACCTGACTGTAATGTCATGACTCTACTCAGCACCTTGTTCCACTCTGCTTTTCAGTTATGTGCAGGCAGGTTTAGAACTAATCTTACTTACTGAGTGTGTGTAATGTGCTCTCTTAAAAAAAGTAATTGTAACTTGATTGCATTTATCTCACCATTTTTATTTAAGGGTGCTTTGCATTGAATTGGCTGTGGATTTGCATATTTTATTGAGACAGCTAGTGATCAAACTCATCAGGCACTGCAGTTAAACACTGTGTTTTTCTAGGAAAGAATGCCAAGCATGCAGTGTTGTTGGAGAGAAAATGGTCTGGGAAAAGAAAATTAAGAAACTCTGGGCCTGAGTACTGCTTTCCAGAGCTGAGGGAGCCACAGGATCTCTGGACTCCTGTGGGGAGTGGAGAAGAATAGCAATTTCTGAAAGGTGATTTAGCTCTTAACAAATCTTCCTCTGGGAGCATCTCAGTTTCTAATTAAAGTGACTAAGAGCAGGTCCTTGCAATTTGCTCTGACAGTGCTCGGTGCTGAGACTTCTGAGAAGGGAACAGGAGGTTTGTTCTGAATGTTGTGTCATTGAAGACACTGCAAAGCTGAAAATCTCCTCCTTTTTTGCAACCACACTCCCCTAACTGGTCTGAGTGACATGTAGGACACAGTAGACGTAGGATGGAAGTTGGGCTGCTTCATACTGAGCTTACCCCACAAATGTCCTTTCTCCTTGACCTTCCTTTCCACAGTGCTCCAGACTGTGCCATCCAGGACCTTCTGTTGCCTCTCTAGTCCCACCCAAGACCCTATGAAGGGAAAGGGCAACCACCTGGAGCTAAGGCTTGGAGAGAATATTCAAAGGCCCAAGTGGCTTAAGAGGCTGAATTGGAGTTTTTACACATGGTTTTGAACCAGAACTTTAAAGGTGTGTAGAACAGGCTGAATAGTATCTGCTTGAGTTTTTAAAACCTCTGAAGTCTAAAAGGGTGTTGAAACCAATGGGTGTTAGGAGCTGCAGCAATCCTGGGATTCTCAGGTGATGACAACCTTTCCTTGTCTTAAAGCCTAAGAATGGAGGAGAGTAACTACAGAGGCAGCTTCAGAAACTTATGCTCTCTGACTACACTTTGGGTTTGCTTTCACTAAGTGGAGAGAGTTTGGCAGGAGTCTCCCTGTGCCCTTTCAATGGCCCTCCTTTGTCCAGAAACTACAGAAGAAACTTAGGATAGGTAACCATTACTGTGCTCTATAAGCAACCATCAGAGGAGGCTTTGATGAGACGTTGACTCTGTCTTCTTGAAAAGGAAATTTAAGTTTCTGAAAGCCATTTTGGAAGCACAGCTCTTGGCTCCTGCAGAGTCTCAGAAACTGTCAGGTTGACACTTTACTTATTATTTTTCTTTCTCCTCACATCAATACTTCTAAAAAGAATCAGGGCACATAAAGGCTGCAAGACTCCCTGAGGCCTCTTTGGAACTGACACAGCTCTTACACATCAAATGGACCATTTTTCTCTGTTAACCCTTGCTTCCAGACAGAAAACCTGGTCAGAAGGAAGGAAATTGGGTTCTACGAGCAAACAGAAATTGATATAGAGATGAATCAATTTAAAGGAGTAATTTAAACTGTTTAGAGTAAAAATAGCAGGATGTTTCATCTTTTAGTTTAAAAAATTGCAACATATTTTGAGGTAAACTCCAGACTTCAGGTAAAGAGCACAGACTGAACACAACTGCCTCTGTTTATTATCCTATATGCAATAGGCTACTCTGGCATTCCAAATGCTGCACAGGCATGTATTACCAGAGCCCTCTGATACCCTCTTTTTCTCCAATACCTTAAACAGTTTTCTAAGTCTTACTTTAAGTCAAACTGTTATCCTTTAACACAAAGTTTTTAACATTGCTGACATATATACAGACTCAGTAGCATTTGAGGTGGTTGTCCTGATTAGCAGCAGCTTATTCTGAAGTTTTCTGTGCTTTGAAATTCTTAAGTGCTACTTCATTTATTCTTATAATGTGCAAACCACCTATTTAATACTGTCAGCAACAGGGTCATTCTCCTACATGAAGAGTTGTGTACATATCTAGGAACAATTAATAGAATTCTTTAGCCCCATTCAGATATTCATTTACTTGCAGAGTAGTCCTACAAACCAGCTGCAGGAAGTACTATCCCCTCCCCATCATTCTCACAGCTCACATAAATCAAAGAAAATGATGTTTCAAGGTCAAAATTTGAAAAGAGGTCTCTCTCCTTGTGGAATTATGGGAGCAATCAGCAAAACCACACCTTTTCAAATCCCTTTAAGAAATGGCAGCATGAGAAACATCCAGGAAGACAAAACAGGCCTCTCATGTCATCAGAGGATGCCAATCAGTGATAGACACCAACACTGCCTGTCATGAAGCACAAAGTCTGAGGCCAGCAGCCTAGAAACATTGAGGGCAGACCACCAGCACCTCCATTTTCACATCCTCCCTGATGTCTGTTAGAAAGGGGGTAGCTCTGCCTTGTCATTTGAAAAAAGGAAATGAAATTTGGCTTTCTCCCAGCTACCTTTCAGAAAAAAAATCCACTGCTTTTCAGTGGTCTCACCCTTCCCCTTCTTATAAACCAGGCATCAGCATTTTATTTCCCATCCCAAAACAGTGTCATGCACTAATGCAAGACTTTTACAGCAGGAGGGACTGAAAAATAACCACCTTTGTTTTTGTATTCAAATTCTTGTGTTATAATATAGGTAGTGTTTTGGTTTTTTCCTTCCTTCCTTGTTTCTCCTTAATACACGATTGTGAAATTGCCTGATTATTACAAATGTATCACAGAACACACGAGATAGATGTATCAAAATTATGACTATTTTTACATTCCCTGCCATTGTTCATTCATTATTATGTTTGACCATGAAACAGACTGTGAGGACATGAACGAGTTCTACTTTTCTTTTTTTCATCTGGCTTTGGGAACCGGGAACAATTCACCCTCACTGTTGAAGCACTTCGAAACTCAGGCTTGGATCATACCGAGAACACAACAGAGAAATACCTGTTCATTCATAAATTTTTACTAGTGATGAGAGAAAGGAAAAATATCTCTAACTGTTCAAGCAGGGGGCAGTGTAATGCTGATTTTCAACAAGCAGTTCTACTAAAAAGAGAAAGGAAAGCTCTGAAAAGAACTAGTTATCTCGGTTCTGGCTGTATTTCATTTTCCCTTTTGATGTACTCTTTCCAACACTCACTTCGTAGTTATCTCAAGACAAGAAACAACGGGGAGAGAAAGACTCCTGACAACTGTTAGACCCGACAAGCTGCAACAGGCATGGTACAGTGTCCCAAATTTACACCTCTCATTTTTCCTCATTTCTGGAAAAACAAACCCTTCAAAATTTCACCCAGCTACTAAAGGAGACAACAACGTGGCTCCAAACCATGTGGCTGGTGAGAAACCACAAGCCCTCCCGGTTACACCGAGCCCGAGCACGTTTGCACACATTCCGAGGGTGAAAAGCCAACACGACCTCACACGCAGCCACCGGCATCGCTCACACCACGCTCAGGCTCGGGGGGCACCGAGCGGCACAGAGACATCTCTAACCCCCACAAAACTTCCCAGTGACGGGCATTGGAGCCAGGGCACTTCTCGGAGGAGACGTTCACAGGGGCAGCACTTACATGTGCGCGTCGGGCCGGCTCCGGTCAGTGCGGGGGTGCGGAGCGGGCGCGGCCGCCCATGGCCCGCGGTGCTGGGGGACCACCGAACCTCCTCTGTCCGGGTGATGAACCTCCCCTGTCAGCGGTGCTGGGGGACCACTGAACCTCCTCCGTCCGCGGTGCTGGGGGACCGCTCAACCACCTCTGTCCGGGTGATGAACCTCCCCTGTCCGCGGTGCTGAACCTGCTCTGTCCGCGGTGCTGGGGGACCGCTGAATCTCTTCTGTCCCGGTGCTGACCCTCTGGTATCCGCGGTGCTAAACCTCCTCTGTCCCGGTGCTGAGCCCCCTCTGTCCGGGTGCTGAGCCCCGCTCAGCGGGGCCGGACGGGGCGGGCGCTGCCCGCGGTGCCGCAGCCGCCGCCGGCGCGCTCCAGGTGGTGCCTCATCCTTGTTCCCTCTGCCCGGGCACAGCTCCCCGGGAGCGCCCGGGATCCGCTCGCTGGAGGAAGAGCCGGCTGCGAGTCTGGCATGTGAGTTGCGTTGTCCTGCCCTTCTTCCCTCCCCCTCTTCCCACGCCGTTGTCCCCCTGTTGGTGTGGATTCGATGTGGTTTCAGCCGGAGCTGGAGGAGTGCCCTGAGCCCTCCCAGGGGCTGCCCCGGAGCAGGCGTGGCAGGAGAGCCTTCCCGGGGAGGGCAGGGCTGCCTCAGGCTGCCCCGAGGGCAGGGGGTCCGCTGGGGGCTCCCCCCCTCACACACCCCACTCCTGCTTCATCTGGCTGTGCCCCCCTCCGCTGGGAGTGCTCAGGGCTGCTTCTCCCCATCTGCCGTGCCCAGGTTCATTTTATTCCTTACCTAGGAGATCTTGTCTCCTAGGAGGTGGCAGAGAAGGGGTGTGTGCATCTATGTGTGCCAGGAGTGGAGGGAGAGAGAGAATGAAGCCAACATGCAAAATAATCAGTCAATGCAATCAATCCCCTCCCTCTCGTGATAGAGCAGAGCTGCCAGAGAAAAAACTTCAAACTGCATCCAGGAGCACCGGTGCACCATCCTGCACTCTATTCCACGTGAAAATAGCAGGTGTTCTTCCCAGGACCACTGCCCAGGATGCTCCCACTGCCTCCCACACAGCTGCATTCCCACAGGGCTCTCCAAGCCCATGACCTTCCCTGTCCTTCCCCATCAGTGCAGCTCCCCTGCCCCCTGCTCTACCTTAGCTGGTACAGATTCCTCCCCTCACCACACAGCCCATTGCAGTTACCAAACAATGCCATCCCGCCTCACCTGTCATGTCTCTGGGAGTTTAATCCTGGAGGAAACCCTCTGCTTGGAGAGGTGACTGTGGCAGGCAGTGCAGGGCTCTCTGAACAGCACACACTGGAGGATGGCAGGATGTTGATTTGCCCCAAGTTCTTCTCTCACCCCCTCACAGCACTGGCTGAACTGAGAGCACTGATGAAGAGGAGTTTTTTCCCCATTTTTTCAGTCTCAATCTGTGAGGATGAGATCCTCTCAGTCAGCTGAGGGTGTTATTTCATGGAAACACCTCAGGGCACTGACCATTTAGCAAGGACCACTGAGAGCTTGCTGTGGCTGCTGTAGTGGCACCGCAAAAGCATCTCAGACCATGCCTTTCAGAAACCTTTAAAGACAGCTGATGAAGAACTCTCATCCCACATCCTTAAACAATTAAGTTACTTTCAGCAGCCTGAGCTGTGCTCACAATTGTGAGGAGGGTAAGTCTTTTACCACAAAGAGATTTTGTCCTAAATAAGGGGGAGAGTGTATTAACCTCTAACTATCATGGGCAGCACCCACACCTGCAGCATTCACTGCACTCTGTTTTGACCCTGTCCTCTAAAATGCACTGATTCCCTTGTTCTTGTCCCCATTTAGAGCTTCTTGGAGCTCACTGAGAAATTCCTGAGGGCCCATCTCTGTAAATATATGAGAAGGATGTGGCTGTTACCAGGCTCAGGGGAGAACAGCATTCTGTGGGGAGAGACAACCTGTGAAGATTAGAAAAAATAGAAAAGAAAAAAAGAAAGAGACTCCACAGCTACATACTCACTAATGCTGTTGAGATAAACTCAAAATGATAAGCTGCTGCAAAAACACAAATCTCTGCTTTAGGTACCTGACACAGCTTGGGGTAGAAGCAACTTGGACAATTCTTTCTCTAAGTAAAAAAAATTAACCTTCATAGTATCTTGGTATTTGTCTGTGTGCTGGTTTTGCCTGAGGTAGAGTCAATTTTCTTTGGAGTATGGAATATGAAAGTTTTGGATTTGGGCTGGAAACTGTGGATACCTCAGGGATGTTTTTGTTGCCAATGAGCACTTACAGAGTCCGAGCTTTTTCTGCTTCTCACCCCACCCCACCAGTGAGGAGGCTGGGGGGGCATGAGGAGCTTGGAGGGGGCACAGCCAGGACAGGCGACCCCAGCTGACCCAAGGGACATTCCATACCCTGTGACATCATTCTCAGCAAATAAAGCTGGGAGGGAAAAGGGGGGATGTTCAGAGTGGTGACACTTGTCTTCCAAAGCCACCCTTAGATGTGATGGGCTCTGCTTTCCTGGTGGAGCACCTGCCTGCCCATGGGATGTGGTGAATGAATTCCCTTTTTTTGGGATGCTTGCATGTGTGGCTCCTGCTTATTAAATTGTCTTTATATCCAGCCATGAGTTTTCTTACTTTTATCCCTCGGATTCTCTCCCCCATCCCACTGGAAGGGAGTGAGGGAGTGGCTGTGTGGGATGAGTTTTCACCCAGAGTTAAACCATGGCTGTCTCACTCTTTCCCCTGCAGGGTTCTTTTTTCTGCCATTGACTTATCTGTCACCATAACAAATTATTGAAGAATCAAACAGGCTCTTGCATTAAAAGTATTCATTTCTATTTCCTTTTAAAGGCTTGGGAATACTTGCAAAAAGTCTACTTATTAACTTTTTTTTTTAATAGATGGGAAATAGAAATTAGACGAACCCAGCCTTTTTAAATTTATCTTATTCAGTACAGAGTTTTGCCAGGTTATCTGAAAAATATTAATTTTAGGATTGAGCATGGGATTGATTTGACTAAACATATGTCATCTTTCTCCCTCACGTATCCTGAAAAATATTCAAGTCTGGGATCAATGTACTGCACTACTGCTCCATGTGTTTGTAAAGCTGCAATTATGTCTCATCCTTTCTAGGTGTAACTTCACTGGAAAATATTCACCACTTATACTTTTATGCACATTTTTTCCCTCCTTAAAAAAAAAAAAAAAGGCAAAAAAACCCAAACTCAAGGCCCAGCAATGCCCAGCACTCAGTTATCAGGAGGACCTTCTTAGTAATCTCAATAATCAGCAGTTTACCCACTCCATAAATCTGCAGCTGATAAAAGACTGACAGCACTCCCAGTTGCAATTAATTATGCCAGATTAACATATGAGAAGCAAAAATAAGTGGGAGGGGAAAAAGGGAACTGAGAAAGTCTGTTATTATCAATGCCCATTAAAAGTATTCAAAATATTGTTGAAGGTTTCTGGTCATACATCTCAGAATTAGTGGAAACCCACAACTCCAGAACCAAGAAATCCTACACTTGGTTTTCTTAAAAGATTTTTAGCAGAAGGTTCTGAACTTCTGAACTCCTGTGAGTTGCTTTTCATCTTGATTAACTTTGCATTTTGCTATTGCAACAGTTTCATGTGAAAAGCATTTGCTGAGAAATCTATTTCTAATATTGCACAGAACAAAAGTCTTGTTGAATAAAAAATTATAGAAAACTTGTGGGTTTTTTCCCTGCCAATCATCAGCTATTTGCACTGGTTAAAGTGTACCAAAAATGGTCTTGCCTGGCTGGGGGCAAGAACGATTCTTGTGTGAAAGAATCAAGTTGTAATGGTTTAAACTCACCTGTACCTTTAAATTAAACAAACCACAGAGTAACTGTTGCATCCTATCAAAACCAAGCAGGGAGGTATTTCTCTGCAGGAGTGAAAATACAGAAACAATTAAGGAATTTTAGAAGAAAATTGTAGAATTATGTCATGACATGCAGTGAGTGAAATATTGAGACTTCAGATTTTTCTCAAGGTTTTTAGCTTTGAAAGCTTTTCAGTCCTTACTGAGCTCAGTGTTCTTTACCCTCAAATATTATTGTATTCTCAGATGTAGTGCAGGAGGAGAATTGCTAGAGAATACCTTAACATATTCATGTTAGGGAAAGGCCTGGTTTTGTTTGCTCAGGTCTGATGTTTCAGGCAGTTCTACCTGTGCCACCACAAAAAGACTGAAGAAAGATCTTTTTTTTTTGGGGGGGGGGAGAAAAAATGAATGGGAAGAAAAAGATTCAGAAATCATGGTATTAAACTTCTGATTGATTTTGGGAGTAGTTAACTGTCCACTTAATCAGCAGAGTCATCTCTCCTGTCTCAGTCATTTCCACCCCTTTATTGCTGTCACAAGCAGACTGAATGAGAAGACAAGTGGAAGATCGATTATTTGTTGGAAGAATTTTTGCTTCTATTGATAAACATTTTGCCATCACAAAACCATTTTTCCCAGGGACTGTTTCATTTACTCACTGATAAACTTGGCTCGATCCTTCCTTCAAACACACACTTGTGTTAAGCACCAACTTTTCCAACCAACCATTTCAGCTAAAACACAAAAAATAAAGAAAAAAAGCATTAAGAGTACGAGAAAGCTTGGTAGGGTTCCATCTTTTTGGCCCTTTTTTTTTGCACTGCTCCTGTTCCCCAGACCTGAAACAACAACCAAAGGACCAGGAGAGAAGCAGCAGAGCCAATGGAGAAGGGTGGGGAAGGAGGAAGGGCTCAACCTGGTCAGGATTTATAATTCATTAAAGACATGGGCAACCAAAACCATATTTAATTTCCCACCAAGGCCACACAGAAACAGCTGTACTGACATCCTAATTCCTGATATCCCACTGGATATCAGCACATAGGCCTATCTGGCATCATCTTTAAAAATTCAAGAAGATAATTACGACACATATAATATGTATTTCTAATTATTTCTGGGATAGGACCCACCTGAACCAGCTTTGACCCAGGGATGAAAGGCAAAATGTTGCTTTACATCTTTATATTACTTTTCCCATCTCATAAATTTTCCATTCTCCAGAGCTATTGGCTGGGATGACTGGCAGCTTCCAAGGGTATCTATGAATAGTAACCCTTTTGGCTGTACTATCTCATATCCTTCCATATAAAAAAAAGTGAAATAAATGCCAAAGTGTCCTCATATTAGAAAACATAATAAGCAGAATACATTTTTATTACTGACTCTCTGTCTACCTCTCAACCTTTATATTTAAGACACTTTTATTGACTTCAGTGCCGTTTTTTGCACTTTAAACAACTTCTTTTCCTGACCTAATTACTTCAGGGTAACTTTACTAAGACCAGCAGCAACCTACCCCCGACAAAGGAAAATCTGATCATAAAAAAGTGATATCCCCTCAGGTGAGAGAAGCAGCAGGGGAACAGAAGTGACAGGTTGATTTAAGATACTAACAGCAGTAGGATTGGTCTGACAAGTGCTTATTTCCCTTAACCCATTTTATTTCAAGAACAATTTATATGCTAATCAGATCTGGTGCAATTTTTTTCTCATGAAAAGTACATGATCCTCACATGTCAAAAAAAAAATAAAAAATAGAAGTCTCCTGTTAATAAATTGGATGGTTAACACTTGAAGCAGAAGAAACTCTGGAATACAAGTAAACTTTTCTGATTTCTTACAGAACCTCATTCCCATTATAAAGAATACAGAAAAAAAATTAGTTACAAGTTGAAAAGCTGAAGAAGTTTAAACTGGAAAGACAGAAATTCTGTTCCTTTCTTTTTATAAACATAACCTGTGCCCTTCCTTATATTAAAGACTCCTTTTCTCCTTGAAGTTCTGAGTAGGTTTTGTCGAGGTCAGATCAAAGGCAGAGATATTTCTATACACATCTTGGTAGATGTGGCTGAAGGGACTGTTATATCTGTGGGTTTTGGTGCTTCTTTAACCAGCAGTGACTGTCCTTTATTCTCTGTATGAGACATCACTGCCTGGATCTTCTTTGCTGTTTCTAGAAGTGCATGTGCAGGTGTTTGAGGCTTTGCTGCTGTTTCCCACAAACAGTGGGATGCTGAACCTCTGCAAACCCCAGACATTGCTCTTCCCTTAAAAGAGGAAAGTTTCAAGCAGCCTTTCTCTTCCCTGCAGTTTCGCTGCTTCTTCACCAGAGCTTCCCAGGGCCTTCCTGCTTTCATTTATCCCATTTCTCTCTTCTAAGTGTTTCATTATTTTTACTCATCTTTTCTGCATTTAATCCGTTGCTTCTTTTCTCCAGAGGATACAGGTTAGGGATGAGTTGCCAGATGGCCAATCTTACACTTGAGCATATATTCATTTACCCTTAAACTCTTCCCATTTCCCTTCTGAATCCTTTCCCTCTACTGTCTTTTGTGATCAGATTTTATGCAACATTTCCCAAATACCTTTGGTTCCAGACCCCATGGCTCTTTTTCCCCATGATACCTTCACTTTCTGAATCCCACCCTAATTGCATTTAGATGTCAGAGCCTGTCTCTTACTCTCACAATGTTTCTTAACATTTCTACTGATATTCTGAATTACTTATATTTCAATTAAACATTACTCCCTCCAGAAGTATCCTATAACAGAACAAATCTGGAAGGATTTAATCAAGTTTTTCTGGAGGAAGGAAGGTGTAGAAACAGAGGAGCAATGGGAGAATATCTATCACCAGTATTAAAAAAAAATAATCAAGAAAAAGGAATATTTATTCTGTGTCTATGTAGAGCTAATTATGTGTTTCATTAATTTCTTTCTCAGACCTTCTCAGGCTTTTTTTATAGCATTCAGCTAATTTCTTTTTGTTCCTCTGTTCACAGTATTGTAAATTGGCAGAATTTCAAGGAAAAAGGATTTTATTCTAATTGCCTAGTGGAGAACATTTACATCTGTTAATGCCAAGTCTTCCTCTGCTCTGAAATGAAATAACTACCTAAGGGAAAAGAAAACCACAAGGTACAAAATTGAGCACAATTTTGTGATTACTAGAGAGAATTCACAGTAATCATGTGATTTTCCCATACTTTTATTACTTTACAAGTATTCCCATGGAAAAGGGTATTGATAAGGCTCTTCCCTAAAATGCTGTCCATGCAGAAAAATCAACCTAAGACTCGTTGCTAATTCATTTTCATGGCAATCAATGCACGTGGGCACCTGAAATAAGAGCCCCAAAAAGAGAAGAATATGGTTTTTGTTGTTTGGAATGAAACATCTCTATATAATGAATATTTGAGAGGGTGGGAAAGACAAAAAATGAAACTAACTGTTCCATGTAAAAATGAGAAC